TATCAATTATATTTTGTAATGCTTCAGCGTTGTATTCATCAAATAAGTATTGTTCTTTATTATTATCTATTTTAAATTCAGTTTCTACATATTTAATAATTTCTCTATACGCTTCATCAATAGTTGCTGTTGGGGAAACGATATATATGCGTTCGAAGCAGTTCCGATATACTTTTAATACGAGGTTCTGTATAAGTATTCCTTTGCCGCCCTGTGATGAACTACAAATAATACTACGAAAGGGCAATTTGTCTGCTTTATCATATGATGGCTGTTTAAACTCATACTGTCTAACATTTATTGGTTCTATTTTTGGTGGTGAAGTATCAGGCATAATAAAAACCATATTATAAATACTTATAAAAAATTAATTATATTTATTATTGAATGGAACATCATTATGTTATGTGTGGTGGTGAATAACATAATGGAACAGGCTTTCCATTGCTTCAATCAATAAGCATTGAAGATAATTAGTTTGAATTAGCTTGAACCTCGCTTGTGTTGTCCAGTCCGAAGAAACCCCATTGCTGAGCCCCGAATATTCTAATAATAAGATTAAATAATTATTTCATCTTATTATTTTATATGGATAGGACTTATTCAGATTATATTGATATAATAGATGAAGTTGAGAAAATAGAACAAGTTGTAATAACTGACAATAAAATTAAAAAATGTTGTTATTATTCGTTAGAATTAATTAAGCTTATTTTTGAATATATCAAAAACAAAAATGTAAATATTAATATAAATGGGAAGAAAGAAAAACAAAAATAATAAGTCAGAAACAACGGTTTCATCAACAGATGAAGACAGTGAAGAAGTTGTTAGTAAAACAGCAGTTATCAATTTCCCTTGTCCAATGTGTCAAAAGATGTTAGAAATGAAAAACGAATTAGAAATACAAAAGAAGGGAAATTGCAAATGCTCTTGTGTCCCTATCGGTTTTAAGATAAGTAAAACTGATAAAAAAAATGAATATTGATAAATCCAAAGACAGTATCAACTTAGAAACAGACGCACATAATATTGCTATACACTTTGGGAGGGGAGTTACTCCATCAGATAACGGTGACAATGAAACACAGGAAACTGTTAAGCAAATGATGAAACAATAATATATAAAGAGTAGATTTAACACCACGTTAAACGCATAAATAAAAAATAAATATATATATATAAATATATATGTCAGATAGTGATAATGTGTCATTAAGTGAGTTGATAAAGCAGGTAAATATGTTGAATAAGAATATCAAGGCATTAACAGATTTAACAACAGCAATTGATGAACAGTTTCAAGCCAACATAGCAGATAATGTTGATGAGAAGGAAAAGATTGATAAGATTTTTGAAAGCCGTGGGCTGGGCAGGCCGAAGGGCGACCATCAAAGTAAAAGACAATCTTATTTTGAGATGGTGTCCAAAGGGCGTATTAAGCAACCAAGAGAACAAACATTAGAATATTATAAAATTGTAAAAGATGGTGACGAATATAAACTTATGGATTAGATATTCATTGAAAAATGATTTAAAGGATGAAAACCATTGAATAACAGTATAGAACAGTATGTCTCAACAAATTTCAGTAAACTCAAAAGTTGATTTCAAAAATGGAAAGATTTATATAATCAGAAACAGAGTAAATGAATTAACCTATATTGGAAGCACTTGTCAGTCATTATCTAAAAGAATGGCACAACATAGGTTGGATAGTAAGAACACAAAGCATGATAAGATGAAGCTGTATATATTAATGAAGGAATTGGGTGTAGATAGTTTCTACGTAGATTCTACGTTGAATTGGTAGAATATTTTTCTTGCAATACACGTGAAGAACTGTATAAAAGAGAAGGTGAATGTATCAGAAGTCAAAAGCCACAATTAAACAATAAAATTCAAGGTAGAACACAGGAAGAATACCGCAAAGATGAAAGAGAGAAAGTATTAGCAGGAAAAAAAGAACACTACCAGAAAAACAAAGAATATTATGCACAAAAGGCAATTGAATATCGTGCGACACATGTAGAACAACATAACGCAAGAGCGAGAGAGCGTTATAACAAAAACAAGGACAAACTACAAGAACAGTATAAGCAAAAGAAAGACGAGATAAACCAGAAAAGAAGAGACAATTATGAAAAAAGAAAAAGTGAGAACAATAATTTCAGAGAAGAACTAAACAAAAAATATAGAGAATGGTATGTCAAAAATAAAGAAAAGAGACGCCAGAAGGAACAATCAGAAGAGCACAAAGAATTACAAACGACAGATGAAGGAAAGTATGAGATTGTCTGAAAATAAAATCTAAATAATTCTAATAATATGTATTTATTGGAACTATTCTCAGGTAGTGGAAGTGTTGGAACGATTGCGAGGTCGCTAGGTTTTAATGTAATCTTGTTGGACTTGAAGAATGCTAACATCAATACTGATATTTTGAAATGGAATTACAAAGAGTTTGACAAAGGGCATTTCAATTTTATTTGGGCTTCTCCACCTTGCACGGAATACAGCAGAGCGAAAACAACTGGCATCAGAAATATTGAATATGCTAACAGTATTGTTTTAAAAACCCTGGAAATAATAGATTACTTTAAACCTGAATACTGGGTGATTGAAAATCCACAGACAGGATTATTGAGGATGCAACCTTTTATGAGTGGTTTGAAATACAATGATGTTGATTATTGCAAATATGGTTTTAATTACAGAAAAAGAACCAGGTTGTGGAATAATCTTGACAATTGGACGCCTAGAAGTTTATGTAATAAAGATTGTGGTAAAGTGATTAACAATAAACATATTGAAACAGCACAACGCTTACCTAGTGGTCGTAAGGAAACTTGGAGCGAGAATTATGTTAAACATAAACAGGAAGACCTTTATAAAGTTCCTAGTGAATTAATTTGTGAAATCTTGGTTAGTTTGACAGATTAGGGGAAACCACCGTCATTTCAGAATTGGAAAAGCTGAATTTTAGAAGTCTGATTGGCTGATTCGGGGCTCAAATCTGGCTGATTCGGGGCTCAAATCTGGCTGATTCGGGGCTCAAATCTGGCTGATTCGGGGCTCAAATATGACATTTCCGGGGCTCAAATATGACATTTCCGGGGCTCAAATATGACATTTCCGGGGCTCAAATATGACAGGTGAGAATTATGTAAAACATAAGCAGGAAGAACTTTACAAAATCCCTAGTGAGTTAGTCAGTGAGTTGTTGATGTTGCTTTGGAATGTTCTGTGTTCTGTTCCTTGTTGGTTTTTTGTTATGTTTCTTTGTTGTCGGGGGTTTTTGGATAAGGGTGGCTTACAACCTATCTGAGTAAATATTGTGTCTTAAAATGGTTTAAAGGGTTGGTGGCTTATTATATTAGATGATTATGGATAAGAAACATTGCTCGGGTTGTCAAAGAGATAAGAATTACAATTTATTTTCAAATAATTGTAAAACTTGTGATAAATGCCGTGAAAAGCAAAGAAGGAAGTCAGAAATAAAGAAATTGAAAAGAGAAGCAATGAAGAAAGAAACAGTAGCAGATGAAGGGGAAAAACAATGTTGTTCTCATTGTCGAGTTCATAGAAAGATTGAATTATTTTCAGATAATCATAAAACTTGTGATAAGTGCCGAGACAAGCAAATAGTATATTCAAAAACATACCGAGACAACCATAAGGAAGAAATACGAGAAATAAACAAAGAATACGGACAGAGAGAATATCACTGTTCTGTATGTGATTGTGAGATTAAATTAAAGCACAAGGCACGGCACGAACGAGCAAGGAAGCACATAGAAGATTTAGAAAAGAATGAGGTTAAGGATGTATGAAATGGTTTAAGTTATTTTATAAAATGAATAACTTAAAACATTTTGATTATGAGGTTGGTTAGGCACGTGTTATGAAACTTATATGGGTTTTGATATGGGCGATTGGTATGAAATTTTATAAAATCTTGGGGGGCGGGTCTGACTGATGGGGTAGAAAAGTAGGTTGTAGGCTTCCTGCTTGCTACTAGCGCTGTGGAAGCGAGTACAATTATAGAGTTTCAAAGGGCCCAGCTTTGCGGTTAAGCTCCGGAAATATCACCAAACCTTGAATACAAAATCTCGGAACCTGGGAGACTTTGGGAACCAAAAGTGAGCCGGGCAGAGCACATGCAAGATGTAGCCTACACACCCAGGACCGATATACCGATATACCAGAAGCTGAAGCCATACATGTCACTGGTATAGAGTGGTAGAGTTTGATGGAGATTGATTGAAACCGACCTTTAAAGATGCAGCAGGCAAACAACATCTTACAGTGGACCTGCAGAACGAATCGGTTGCGGGCAGGTCTGAAACAAGCTTTAAATCTTGGCCTAAATGAAGAAACGTGGCGCAACTGGGGTACGATCTAATCACATGTTTGAAATGACTTGTGGCCCCTCTGCTTTTCGCACAATAAGCACGCATGCCCTAGTTCTGGACATGCACGAAGTGAATACATTGCATGATTTTCTCGAGGGTTAGTTATGGTGGCTGTCGTGGAGAAATGCCCGGCCTTGAGGTCTTGCGTAGCAATTCATTGCTAGTGTGGGAGGTCTGCTCGTAATAAAGACGCTCGTAATACAGACGCGTTAGATGCCCCACAATCCTCTCAAGTTCACGACCAAAACAAGTGGTACACTGGCCTATGATCTCATCAAACGTTGGAAGCAAGAAAGATATGAGAAAGACGCATTGAATGCACACATGAGAAAGTCAATCACACTGCTTGCTGAATGACTTCACGTGGACGTGCGAATCCGCAACACTTTCCCAAGCTTGGCCAAAGTCGGCATCAACGCTTTGCAAAATGCAGCTACCCAACTTGCCTACGAAGTGAGTCGCCTGTAGAAAACGATGCCTTGCCATTGCGACATTCTGGTCCTGTGAAGCATTGGGGATCAATACAAGAAGTTGGACTTATCCGAACTCCATCCCCGGCTCAAAGAATCACGGCGGGCGTGGCACCTCAGCGCCTTCATCGCCGGTCTCTGCGCCCCACAACGTGACCTTCGTGATGTTGCGCTGCACCTTGAAAGCTCGGGCCACCGCCTGGCGGCTCAAGCTGGTCCTCTAGCCCAAACAATGACGGCCCACGCGGCAAGCATCAAGGATCAAGAGAAGGCACGTTGACGTGCTCTATTTCCTCGGCATCCCCATCTCACGCGGGCCTCGCCTTGCCGCCCTCGGCGCCAATGTTTGCGTCAACGATGTGGATCGCTCCCACGGAGCCCTTGGGCGCGGCCTCCAGGGCCTGGCGCTCCGTGGTTCAAAGCTACGCTGAGGCGTTCGGGCCTTCCACTCACTCGGGGTCTCTCCGTTGACACATCGCAAGAGTCGATTCGAAAGGTCTGACGTGTATCATGCGCTTTCACCAGGTGTGAATGGCTGAAACCGTGACCCGACTGACACTGGAAACAAAGAACTGCCACTTGGTGTTTCACGCTGCGCGTCCCAGCCTCCAGGGATCTCACCGTTTCGCCGGCTTCTATCGGAGACGCATCTGCCCGAGGGTCGAAGCGCAGCGCTTGGATCGTGGTGCTGATGGCATTGCCAGCCGTGTCCCAAACGGAGGACTCCTGCACCTCCAGCTTCGGTTCCTCCAGCTGGCCCGGAACTGCTCGATCTTCCGCTTTCGGAGGCTCGGGTTCGCGGGTGGCTGCGGGAGCTGAGGGCAGCTCTGTGGGCGACCCCGCGGCTTCTGGCGCTGGCCTGATGATCTCGGCAGCCGCGTCACTGGTCTCGGCCAGGGCGGCCGACTCCTCAAAGACCGCTTCCTGGAACTTCAGGAGCCCCAAAAACTCCAGCCAGCCGCCCCGCACTAGGTGATTCACCACCAGCGCCTGGAGCTGTGCACGGGTGATGGCTTGGTAGAGCAACGCTCGAGTGATGAGGTTGCTGGCGGGGTGGCTGACCTTTGTGTCTAAGCCGATGGCGATGATGAAAAGCTGCTCCAAGCCTTTCGCGTTTGTGACAGTGTCCACAACTATTGTCTCCTGTGTCGTTGTTGTACCCTCAGTCGGTAGCACGCGCAAGGACTCTTCAAAGGACATCAAGTGGAATTGCCGTGCTTTAAAACGAGCGGCCAGGTCTGTTTCTATGAGCGGACGGAACTTGATGAGAAACGCATCGTGAGGGACTAGCAGCGCTAGCCGATTGTGCAGGCTCAGCCCAGCGTACGTGCGCACCACATGCCACACCGAAGCGACGGTGCAATCCACGTATCGACTGAGCTGCTCAGCACTCTCTTCACCGCACTCAAAGAGGAAGCTCTTTAGAGGAGGCCCGGGTGGGCATAAGGAGGTGATCTCTTCCTTTTCAGCCAAGCCCTGAAATGCAGCGGCGCCGGCAACAATTCGCTGGGTGCTACGTACAACTTCTGTCAGTTGCACCTCTTGCATCAACGGGAAACTCGGATCAACCACGGAAGCCTGAGATCGGCTTGAAAGGATCAAGCGTTGAGATGCCGCGAATGTCTCCTCCAGCACACGAAGGTCAACATCACTCCTAAAGATGTCGTGCGATTCATCTACAATTGCCAGGAGAAACGGCATCTTGTAAGATGTTGTTCGCGTATGCTGCAAATGATTGCCATCTGGGCCATCTGCATGCAGGCTGAAACACTGATCGTACGGAGGCTTCATAAGGACAATTCGGCGCAAGATTGACAGGTCGAGATGTCCTCCTTGCGCGCCTCTCTGCATGAGCCACCGAACAAAGAATAGCCCCAGGCAAATAGAGGGGGCTACAAACAGCACCTGTCCTTCAGCAGAGCTGTTGAGTCTATTCCATGCGGTTTGCACCGCGACGAAGGTCTTGCCAGCTCCAGCTGGGGCAGACAGATGAACGCCCCCGTTCTGCAGCGCATTTTCCACATCCTGTAGCTTCTCCTTTTGGTGATCGGTCAGGTCGGAAAAAGTGACTAGGTCTTTTTCAAACTCAGTGCAAAAGTGGGACATGTCAACCTGGATCTGGTACTGGCCTGAGGCCAGTTTAATGACTTCTTGGTTGATCATGTCTTCCACCGCCTTGGACAGCACGAGGTCTCGGACTTGCTGTAGCAGTGCAACGTTCCTCATTCGCAGCCTGATGGCTAGAAAATGAGTGCCCGTTTCGTGAAAAATGCCCTCATGACTATGCATGACTTCTGCACCAGGTAGCTGATCTGTCACGACCTGAAGGAACTTGGTGCGCCCAATGTCTGCGAGCATGTCTGTGAGCAGGGCTGCGTGACGGACATGATGAGTTTCAATTCTCTGCCCAGTTGCGTGCAATTGAACAGTCCAGCGAGCTTCCTCAGATTTGGCCGGAATGGTGGAGGGCACCCCGATCAAAGTGCCAGGCATCCACTGAGTCCCGTCCCAGGCATCGACTTTCTGTTCTAGATTGAATGCATTCTCCAAGAAGTCGCTGACATCAACCTCATCGTAGTCCCAGATGTCTTTGCATCCTTCTTCTTTCTTCATCAAGTCCAGGTATGCAATCTCAGACTTCTGGCTTCCTCCGCACCCTTTGCCGTCCCAGAGGTTCACATGAGGCAAGTCCTCAAACTGCTCCTTGCCCATACCAACTTGTCCAGGGAAGAAGACCACTTTGAGACGTTGGCCCAGCTTCACAGCCTGGGCAACTCGATTTTTCCAGACCTCGAACCAGAAGCAGCCCCACGCTGCGATCTTTCCGCTCTCCTCCCATGCTTTGTACGCATCTGCCTCGGCTTCTTTTCGAGCATCTTCACTGGCATCGGCACGTACTACCACCACACCTGTGGCTTTTGCCTTTGCTCGCTCACGCTCCTCCTCATCCGGAGAGCACCGTCCAGGCAGGACCTTCAAGTACCCAAAGGTCTTGAAGTCCCTTTCTCCGTAAATCTGGGGGCACAGGCAGGGGCCCCCTGGCTCTTTTCTGTGATGTTTGCCCAGGCCATCGTGCACCGTGCATAAGAAAACACATGCTACACTGCAGTTGTGCTTCTCTTTCACCAAAGCATCCCAGCCAGCCGCATACTTCCCTGGGAATGACACGAAACAATCCTTGGCTTCTTCCTCGATGTGGCCATGGTAGGTAATGTCGCCTGTGTTTCCCAGGATGGCTGGCTTGTCCTGGAGAGTGATGCACAAATGGAAGGGATCCTGCGAGCAAGGTGGCGAGAATGAAGCGAGAAAACCTACAGTGGTCTGTGGATACTGAACCAAGTCTTAGCCCAGCAAAGGATGTTCTTGTCTCCGATCTCCAGCACTTTCAACAACCCTCAGATCAAGCCGACCAAGCGCAATGCGAACATCAAACTTCCGTCTGAGTTTTGGATGATGTCATGGCATGGACCTTCAGGGAGTTCAAGGAAAAGGGCTTTATCATCGTCCGCTTGCGACGCAGGGGTGCAATGACGATATCATCGCATTCATCATCATCATCATCATCATCATCATCATCATCATCATCATCATCATCATCATCATCATCATCATCATCATTTCATCACCATCATCATTTCATCACCATCATCATTTCATCACCATCCACCACCAGCCAGCACCATCATCATTATCATCATCATCGTGGTTATCATCATCGTTGCGCCACATGCAATGCCACTGATGCCATGATGATAGTTACTCAAAACTTGCCATATTGTACAACTAGCTTCTGGCCTTCATGAATGAACAATGTCAGGAACAACATCGAAGCATCACACTTAAGCATCCAACAAGCGTCTCCTTACAATTTTGACTATGCTTGATTCATCTTGACTTGCATGGTCAAAATTCTATGATCTTGAGAGATCTGCTCATGGTCTCACGGTCATTGTCCTGTGATGCTGTCACTCTGGCATCGAAGCACAACCCAAGCCACCCGTCCTTGACTCCACTGCCCTTTGAGCCCGCTGTCCTCAGGTCCAAGGCCCCACTGAAGTGACTTCACTCAGACCTGCAGCCTATTCTATCTCCGTGCTACTTGCATTGAAACTAACAAGACGGCGTTGGGTCAAGATGCGCAGGTTGTTGAGCAGTCTCTTCGTGAGCAGGCTTCTCCTGCGAGTGGTGTTGGCGTTTGCACACTCCTTAAACGGCATCGACTGAGCCCGCTGTCAATGGCCGCAAATATTGCCACAGACCAAATTTGCCTTTGGTATGCTCCTTGCAACTATCCGCTGAAGGACAACCCATGGCAGCCGAATTCGTGAAACTGAGTCTCTTGGCGATAGGTTGGCCCTCTGCTCCCTGAAGCCAAGGTATTTGGGTCAGCACATGTACTTCCTCTTTTGGAGTGAAAAAAGAGATCACGGGAGACAGCGTTGAATTTGAGAAGATATTTGAATCGCGTCAAAAAATGGCGGCAAATGTTGCCACAAACGACATTCACCTTCGGTACATTGCTTGGAAGTGGCCTCGGCAAACTTCCAAACACAAGCAAAGAACACTACGAGATGGAATCCAGGTGTCCGTGGATTCCAAATGGATGTAACGAACTTGAGTTGATGTGCAACAATAGGGGGAAGAGCTGGGAACAGTCTATTCTGAGGATGTTCTTGTCTCTGATCTCCAGTCAATCTTCCTTCTGAGTTTTCATTAACAAGTGAGGACATGGATGTTCACACGTGGATTTCAAGGAAAAGGGCTGCCCACCGTATCAAGCCTTCAAGCATCTAGCCTTCATGCATAAACAATGGTAGGGAACAAGATCGAGACATTGCACTCAAGGTCCCAAAAAGTGAATCTTGTGAAAATACAACCTTATGTTATGTTTTGACGAATGTTGATTTACATTTACATGTGCGACATCCTCATGCTGTCATGGTGTCCGCACTTGTTCTCTGACGCGGACACTCTGTCAGTGCCTGAAACTCCAAGGGAACACAACAGCGGCTGTCAATTTTTGGGCCACCCAGTCCTTGACTCGGTCCAGGTCCAGATCTAAGCGGAAAGGGCCTGAAGAGCCCGTAGCTGTTGACCTCAGGTCCAAGGTCAACTGCTTCAACTCAGCTTGCCTGTCATTAAAACTAAGAAGACGACTTTGGGTCATGCGCGAGTGGTTGTTCAGTTTCTTCCTGAGCATCTCTCTCCTGCAAGTGGCGTTCCTGCCTTACTGGCGCACACTGCTTCAACGGGAGCATCGGTATGCTGCTTGGAATTGGCCTCAACAAACATGCAAAAAGGAGCAATTCATGGACAACAGATCCAGGCGTCCGTGCATTCTCAATGGATATCCTTGAGTTGATATGCACTGTGAAATAAGCAAAGCCCCAGCGAAGGCGGAAGAGCGGGCAATCTAGACTCATGTCCTCTCTGTGCTCCAGCACTTTGAGTAGTGCTTCTCGTGCTTCTCTCAGATCCTGCAAAAGTCAGTGCATGCTTGACAGATGTGGAGACTTGCAATGCACCTGAAAGCCGACCAAACGCAATGTGAACCTCAAGTTTCAGTGTGAGTCTTCATGATGTCATGACACGGATCTTCACATTGCGGTAAACCACGGACAAGGGCTGCCCACGGGAAAAGCACAAGAAGAATACCGGTTGCAGGTTGCACGTGGGCTGTCCTCTTCACGCGCATCTCTCGAGATGTCCTCTGGATACCGATTGTCAAACTGTTGAAACGCACGCGCGCGCAAATGAAAATCTGCATAGCGTCAGCCGATCAGCACCTTCTCTGCCTCAACCGTAATATATTGAGGAATCGCTCTGTACCGCCAGAATTCTGCTGATAAAACTCGCGTTCTCGGTTTTGGGGTTTTCAATGCTTGATTCCTGGCCTGCAAAACGCTCAACAGCTCTGCGTCATCGGCAGTCTGCAAGCTATATCTCGCAGCTGAAGCACCAGCGCCCATTGCAGCCAAATTCGTGAAACTGATTGATTGACAATTGGCCCCACTCCCTGAAACCAAGGCATCTGGGTCAAAACATTTACCTTAGCTTTTGGTGTGTAAAGGGAGATCATGAAAAACCATATCAACCGCCACCGGGATTTTAAGATATTTCAACTGCTGGTGAGTAACGTATCGATACACATGTTCACACCAAGACCACTTCCAAAAACCTTCGCTGAGCCACTTGCCAGGTCGGCATCAGATCAGCAAACAACACAGCATTGACTCACCTTCTGGCCAATGTTTCCAGACGTCTGCCCAAACGCCAATGACGCTGGAAAAGAATTGCGTTCGTCTAGATCCCAGGGAAAACCACGGACTCTTGATGGGCTGAAAATATGATTGCAGAAAGAAGGACCGCACAGCCGCGTAGGAAACTTCATGGCAACATAGGTGCAAATGAAAGGTCATCCAGTTGGTTCACCCGGCCACAACTGTCTCCGAACCGATGTCTTGAAACGGCAACAAGAGTGCACTTTAGAATCGGAGGCTGGATGCTTTTGAATATCCTGATTCGTGCCTACTAGATTGATTGAATAGTCAAGCCGCAAGTCAAGACTACCTGCATTCGGGCTTTCCACGGTTGGCCACCCTCAAACCTGAACAAGCATGCGTCCCCACAAACCCAGACCATCAAGTCAAGAATCGAGACCTGAAAACTGGACAAGGGGCATTGCAAAGCCTGAAAGCAACTCAGCCCTAAAGCAGCATTGCCCAAAAACCAAACACACCAGGTTCGCGCGCGTGTGCGCATGGATGTTTGATTGCGCGCGCAGCTTCTGCTTCTCACACTGATGCTTCGCTCCTGAGTTCTTTTGCTTCTCACACTCATGCTCGGCTTCTGAACTCTGCTCATTCCACTCCGGCATGGGATTACCCTCACCGGCGCTGACGCCTTCTCCTGAGGCACCTTGCTCCTCGGCTGCCTGGCCTAACAGAGATCGCGCCGACGTGTGGCCAGACAGTTGCGAGCAAGGAACCACAGAAGAAGAGTCGGCGCCAATGAGGGCAATCCGCACGCTGGCAATAAGGTGCACGTGTCTGTGTGTTTGCGCGCGTGTGTGACTGCGCCTGTGCCCTGAACTCGAGCCGAAATGCATGAACCTTTGACAGAACATGCAATTGAACGTTGAACGTACTGGATACAACCGTCGCAGGGGAGCAAACCTTCAGCAAGGTAGCAACGCAAGGGTAGGACACGGAAGCCCCCTTAGCAATTCAGAGCCCCGCAGTTTGTGGCACGCCAGCAGCCGTTTTTGATCGCGCCAGCCAGCAGCTCCTAGGAGTTTCGACTGCAGCTGAGCGCTCGGCACCTCACGCGAGCCGGCCTTGGGCTTCTGGTCACGTGCTCCACGTCGGACAGTAAAGCGCTGACCACAGCACCATCTCCTGGCAGGCAGTCCAGCTGAAGCAAGCTATTGGCACGCCGGCAAGGAGAAAACCCGGCAAGTAGTTTAGCACTTGTCAGGCTGGACACTTTGGCCTTCCAGAGAAACAGAGAAGTGCACAAGCTCCTCTTCCAAAGCAACGATAATCTTCCAACAAATGCCCTTCCATCTTTCTCCGTCTAAAAGCGCTTCCTGAACGACGGAAACAATAAGACGTTCTTCGGCGACGCAACTGCCAAGCAAGACCGGCGCACTTTGCCTTGGTCGAAGTGATCAAACTTGCATCTGCCTTCGCCCGGAAAACATGAGTCTTTTGTGGCACTCATCTTTAGGTTTGTGTTCGGCGCCGAAAAAGTTCTGAGCGCTGGCCACTACCTATCAGCACAAGTCGCGGATTGAGCAACAGGCTGAACAACTCAGGGTCTGTGGCAGGACCAGCTGGGCAAAGGGGCGTGGATGAATGCGTCAGCGGCCAGTGTGCGAAACTTGCCAAAGCACAGTCAAGACTACCCCTAGCCCCACTGGCAAATGACCTCGGCAGGGGCACGGTGGACACCTGCTCTGCCGGGAATGCTTCCCAGAAACAAGCAACTCTCTTCCTGACGCAAAGCCACAGCAATCTGCTTGTGCGAAGCTCTGCCAGTCTTGCTTTTTCTCTCTTCATTGATGTAGGTTCTTGGTCATTCCCTGTCTAAACTCGCGAACCTCGCCAAACTTCAGCTGGGCTTAGCCTCTTAACGCGCGAAAGGCGCTCGTTGCGCACCTTGGGGCTCGGGCAAATCGAGCAGCTGCATCCCGTGAGTCAATATCGAAACCTGGGACTGAAAGGGCTCTACGCAAACAAGTGTGGCACAAAGTCAACCGGGCCTTGCATGTTTTTCTCGTGCGCAAACTGATCCCGCCCAACTTGTTTGGGTTCTGAAGTTTGAGTCTACCGGGGAACTGTATCAGACTTTCGTCTCGAAGCAAACAGGTTGCAAACCCGGAGACTGCCGTCCCCCAAACGTTTGGAATGGGGGCGGGGGAGGGGGGCGGTATTCCTTCAATGTTGGGGATCCTTGCATGAGTCAAAACTTTTTTGAACGTGCTTCATTGAAGCGAATGAGTCACAATCAAAACCTGGCAATCAAGAGGCGCACCAAGAAACAGTGAAGAATCCAATCCAAAGTGGCTTTCGGCGGGACCGCCCCTCCAATTGCATGGGCGCTGATCTGCGTTCAAACTGAAACGGCGCGGGAAAGGCCTTTGCAAGCTGCGCGAAGCTGCCCGACAAACTTTCCAGGGGGCGGTTTGCCGAATACGTCGCCATGGGCGCAATGAGATATCAGGACTTCCCAAAAGACCGGATCATGTCCGGTGAGCTCAGGATTTGCGCGCGCGCGTTTGCAACGAGGCCAAGCCCTGATGTCAAGAAATCCACACGATCTCATTCACAAGGGACACCTCTGGGCGCAAAGTTCAACCAAATCCGGGCGCTGCCGCACGGCAACTTCCGCGCTCGCGGCATTCCGATGCCTGCCACCTCGTCCATTTTGACACAGCCCCGGCTTTTCCTCAACGGCAAAACTTGAAAACCGCCAAGTCCCGGAGCCCTAGGAAGACACCTCCAAGACTTCTGCCTTGTCTCGTGTTGTTGCAACCCCAAGGGGGCTTGGTACCTTGCTACCATTTGTTAGCTTGATTTCAAGGCAGAAGAACAACGACCATTGCTTGCATCCCCTAATTTAAGACAGACCCATTTCGAGAACCCAAATGCAAGTCAGGCGCACAGACGGTGTGTAGGACCACTCCGCTTTGCCTGCGCGGGGCGAAAGCACACCGGTGGCCGTCTGGAATGGACCAGAAAACTGAGGGCCGAAACGGGTTGTCAAACCGCCAAGACTGGGTAGCTTTCTTTTGGTCTCTTCGTAAACCCTAACGGAGGGCACTCTAAGGCTAAACTGGTAGTTACCCTCCATCCAACAGTTACAACAGTTCAATCATTTTGGACAAATGGCTTCCCAAAAGGAAAGCTTTCGTCTTCGGCCTTGTAAACCGAATTGCCGCATCAAAGAATCATGTGTGATTGACATACTGGGTCGATGAACGTACCAGTGCCGACAGGAATCGGCTTCAAACACTGCTCACTTCAGGATTATCATCATCAGGATGATCATCATCAGGATTGGAATCATCATCATCGTCGTCATCGTCTTCGTCATCGTCATCGTGATCATCATCATCAGCAGCAGCAGCATCATCAGCATCATCTTTATGAGTCCAGCTGACAAAGATATGGAGCAAGGACATGCCTGAATTCCTGGTGACCTGAGCGCGCAAGGATGGCCACAAAGGCTTCTGCAGGGGCCTCACTAGAATCTTTGCCAAACCAACAAAAAACCCTTTTCTCGAATGATCTGGTTTTCTCACCTAACCCAAAAGCAGTACAATTTGCATTGGCCGCCTCCGCATGCCGCGCCTGGACTGCGGCTGTCTTTCAGAAATTGAGGGCTCCTGGCGTTCCACGCGCCACCAAACTCGAATCCACTCGGTCGTTTTTGTAGATCTGGCGAGGTCTTTGTTGCGGTAGGATGCTGAGCGCAACCAACTGTGGCAACAAAGACCGCCCAGCACGCAGCGGTGGTGAAAATCGTGTGGCACTTTGGAGGCATCAACCGTGCGGATAGCACTGCTTGCTGGGTGGGTCGCTTTGAAAGATTTAGGCCCTTTCGGTTGTTTGGTAACTTTGACTGGTCCGCCTGGTGTTTGAAGCCAAGAAAGGATGAACCCCCCGAGCAACTGGCTGAACCGATTAACCCCTGTTTGTCTTTTCTTACGGCTCCAAAGAGTCTAATCAAAGGAAAGGCACAATCAAACGAGGCGGAGAATTAAAAGAAAGAAATTAATGGGTCAGCTGGTGGTCAAGGTAGTTTCCCATTTACCCACAACCAGGGGTGCAAATCCCCAAACCACCAATCCAACAAGCCAATCCGGGGTAACCTGAATAATGTAAGGGGCTATGCGTGCTTTTTATGGGAATCCCTTTTTGATGTTGGTTGAAAGGGAATCCAAAGGAAAGCCGCCACTCCACCATCAATACCGAGATCTCTTGCCTCAGAGCTTGGCGCCACCTGCCCGTAGCCCTGACTCGAGCTCGGGTATTTACCTCATGGGATTGCTGAAGCGCAGCCGAAAGGAAGCCTCCCATTTCGGGGTATTGAAATCTTTGAGACAACCCCATGTTCGTTTACCTTCTCGAAAGCCTCGAAAAAGCAAAACCCACCCAGCGCACACGACCTTGCAAATTCTGCACTGGCTCGAATGAAGGACACCCTCTGAAAACATGTGACATTGGCCACCGAGGTGCAGAGCGAGCGTTCGACACAAAAAAGTCGCGGGTCCCACGTGTTGCCAAGATATGGACCCCCGTTGAAGGGAATGCGGAATGCTCTCTGCATCGACCAACTGGTGAAAACTAGAAATAATGAGCCACATTAAGTTGGTTTCAGTACCCCACAAGCCCAATAAGGTTGAGGCCCTTGTTCTAGGTGCAACTTACCCATTGTTTCCAGGGAGTCTTTCTGGAAAACAACC